CACTATAACATTAGTAGAAATGATATTTTGCATTGAGTATTAACCATTTTTTGTATGTTTCCTTTTACGTTTAGGCCTCAGTCACAGAGTTTGAAAGGCTGCCATCTTCTCTCTGCCCCACTGATGTCTTCGATGTGTGATCTTCAAGTTGATACATCAACTAACTTAAATGTACATATTGATTTTGTTCTCTATGTCTGTTTGTCTAAATAAATAAATAAACTTAAAATCTTTGAAATAAAAAAATGTTTGGAGACCTCCAGTGGTTATATCCGTGTGGGCCAACCATACAACAATCATTACGGTAATGTGCGTGTCTGTGTGCGGTATTACGGTACGTGGGCCATGGAAATGAAGCCACAAAGAAGTGAAGAGTCGAGTAGTTGACACGGATGGATTCGTGGTGAAGCTCCATCCTAACAAGCAGCCAGGGCCGTACGCTTGAAGAAACCGGCTCTTATTTCTACCCATATATACATGTATTATTTGTGATTAGATATGACGGAAATGTTTTCAACTCTGTTTGGGCAAAACGACGCTCAGGGAACACCCGGCTCGTCGTCTCTGGGGTTCGGACCCGGGAAGCCTCCGCCGCCGCTGCCGCAAAATCAAGTCTCCATGACGGGGCAGATGCCACCGCAGCTCGGGGATGAAGGGCCTGTTCTGCGGAAGCCCGGAGCCATGAATGAGCCTTTCTATTTACTGCGGGAGCTTCCTGGTACTGTCGGACTATTATGAGTGCTTAATGCTTTGTATGATAGTTGTCGGTTTAAAGAAAGAGGCTGAGCTGTAATCAGGTTGCTAAGCAGTGTGTAAACAATGCTAACGATAGCTAAGATTAGTCAACAAGGTAAGTGAAAATATTGAGTGGGCTCGTTAAAGGTATTAGCCCAGCTGTTTTTCCTTATGTTGGGTTGGTTTTAAAGTTGACTGTGATACATATTTCCAACCGAGTTCCCTATGTTTTAACTCCCCTAAACTGCAGAAATCACAGGAATAATCACCCCTGAACTCACATCAGCGAACAATGCTACCAGTTTGCAAGTTGTATAACTTAGTTACACATGACTTGTGGTGTTTGCATGGATTAAATTGATACAAAACTGTGTGTTTAGTGGGAAACGAGTTGACGGGCAACACCAACCTCATCACGCACTACAACCTGGAACACGCCTACAACAAGTTCTGTGGGAAGAAGGTGAAGGAGAAGCTCAGCAACTTTCTACCAGAGTTACCAGGTGGGTTATGTGTAGGGACACATGTGGGCTGACAGTCCGGTGTTAATGATGAGGGGGTTTGCACACATATTATTAGACAAAAAACAGATAGGTGTGGGTTAATATGAAAGTTTAATGTTGGCCAAAGTAAGTGCAACACACAGTATTATCAGAATAATCCTGAAAATATACTTAATACTTTTAAAAACTGAAACAGGAATCACTTTACTTACTTTACTTTGTTAAGAAATATATATTTATTGCATCGCAGAATTTATACTATTTCCACACATCCTGTTTAACTTTATTTTATGGGGGTTACAACAGGGAGCCTTCAGCCATGGTGACAGGCTTAGGATTTTGTAATGACTGGAAAGATGCAGGCTCTCCCCGGTCCCCTTGTTGTTCCAATATAAGACTGTATGCTGGTGAGCTAGACAGCTTTTTCAAGTCAAGCCATGTGAGGATATTCACAATTATCACGATTCTAAAGTGTTTTTGTCACGTTGCGTGATAATATTGCATGTCGTCCTTTCCCTAAGTTACGGTAGTGATTCATGTTCAGAGTAGGACACAAGTTTCTAAAGGAGTTTTACCATCGATAGTTGTTCTATTCTGTTATAATTCACTTCATTGGAAACTGGCAGCCTCACTCTGGAAAAGCACCTTTTTTGTCTTAAAGGCCCCAAACTCCAGCAGCACTTGCAGTATTAAGAACAATTTAATTTTTAGACTGGCGCATTACACTGGCTTGTGACCGTTTATCAGTGTTAACAAAAACATATTCTCTCTTTTTAAATAGTATTGGGCTGCTTTTACATAGCAATTTTCTGCTTTAACTGGCAAAGTGCTCATTCACCCATTCACACACACACAGGAGCAACTTAAGGTTCAATGTCTTGCTCAACAAGTAGACAGGAGGAGCAAGGGGATCAGACCGCCAAACTTGCTATTAATGGACGACCTCCTGAGAGACAGCTGCCACCAGAGATACAGGTCAAATGATAACTTGGATGAAGGCAACAAGCTGAAATGCATTGGTGTCACAATACGATTGAACTTAGAGCTACAAGTGTTGCTGTAGTTTCGACCTCTAAAGATTACTCAGAGCCAACTGAGCTGTTACCACACCACACCTGTCTTCTGTAGGTGTTGAGAGATATGGAGATATCTTTTATTTATTTGATTGGCCTTCATTTTACCAATAATATTCCCATTAGTATTCTCTTTCACAAGGAAGTCCTGGCCAAGACTGCAGATAATGTTTCAAATACAGCAGACCTAAAACAAGTGTTCTCTAAAACTGTCAGATAGGAGGAGGAGACTTTGTTGTGAGATGAAACACGCAAGATACCAAAAAATATAACATACATCTGTAAGTCTGGTCTGTGAGTCCATCGTTGTTGTTCAGATCTGATGTGGAAATTCCCTACAGCAGCAAATATTGAGGTCAAAATGAATAAAGCTGAATAAACCCCGAACATGCCACTGTTTTCTAACATTAGCTCACCACCCCAATACAACCGAATCACTGTGTGCTCACTGTGTGCCACCTTGTCATTGCTTAGGTTTTGATCAGTCCTCTCTCTTTTGGCCTGCAGGTATGATTGACTGTCCGGGCACTCAGGACGGCAGCTCGTTGCGCTCTCTGATCGATAAGCCTCCAGTGACTGGGAACTCCTTCAGCCCACTGACCGGCGCTCTGCTCACAGGCTTTAGATTACACACAGGACCGGTACTGACAACACACACAAGTTCTAAAGTCACACACATCTTCAACATGTTGACTCAAATTAAAGTTCCCTTTAGTTGGAATATTCTGGTTTGCTGGAAACATGTATCCTTAATGTTTTTATTATATTGCTCATTTCAGTACTTACACTCGTGCATGTTTTTGTGTTTTTTTTTCCAGCTCCCAGAACAGTACAGACTGATGCACATACAGCCTCCAAAGAAGAAGAGCAAACACAAGCACAAACACCATCGACCACAGGACCCATTGCCACAAGGTATGACAAACTGTACATGTACACAAACGCAAAGGAATGAAACATGTTTTAAGGTCACTGACCTGCTTGTTTTTCACATCGCAGAAACTCCATCAGACTCTGATCCCAAGAAGAAGAAGAAAAAGAGGGACGATGATCCCGACCGCAAGAAAAAGAAGAAAGACAAGAAAAAGAAGAAGGTAAGAAATCTATGAAGACCCCAGGAATTCAGTGATGTGTTATTGTGGATCCTAATACAGAGATAGAAGACCAGCTGAGACCCGTACCCTGATCCAACCCATTCTTAAACTTTATTATCTGAAAACTTGCACCTAATTCCAAGTATTTAACCAAATACTAAAACCTTTCTACTTCTAATCTAATAAGTAAACTGTGTTAATCGAGTTTTGGCAACTAGTGTCACAACAAGTTTTCAGACAACAGCCCTGATTTAATATTGCTTTATAATGTTATGGCTTACCTATTACACTATTACACTTAGCTAACAGTTTTTAACTTAGGCATTTATCAGATACTTTGTAGTGTAGTTCAGTCTTCACCAGCTTTATAGGAAAATCTCAATCTTTATTTATTCACCAGCCAGTAGCTAACGTTGTCAGTCTGCTGTTTGGTGCTGCTGGTAGTTTATGTTGGGTTTATCACAACTCTGTATGCTGAAAACGACTCCTGCAGGAAACCGATTAGAGGAGAACAGCCTAGACTGAACAACACAGTAAATGTATGAGCTGAAATCAAAACTGTTTGCTTAAAGAGGATAAAATCCTCCACAGCGTTGCACTGAACTCTGGGCGACCTCTTTCACATCACATGTAGTCGTTTAATTCCGCGTTAATGGATGAATGAAGTTTTAACCATCTCGTTTGATCTATGATTTGCAGAATTCTTGTATCCATAATTTAGTCTTTGTGTGGCTTTTGAACAAAAGCTCTTTTGTTTAAGTTTACTGTTCACGAACTGTGTTACTGCTCTCTGTCCCTCTCCAGAACCGCCACAGTCCCGACCACCCCGGTCTCGCTGGATCACAACCCAACAGCAACAGCCTCAGATAGACAGGAGCCCACTGTGTGCATGCCTGTGTGTGTGAATGTATATTTTGTAAGAGGATGAGTGTGTTTTACAGATAATTGTATTAATAGGGAATATGTTTAATGAGAGGGGATGAATCAAATAATGCAAATGATTGTATGATGTGTGTGTGTGTGTG